AAAAATCAGGGAACAGAGGAGAGCCATGATCGCCCACGCCCTTAAAGAATATGGCACATAGAGGAAGAATCACTTCAGACTGATACATTTTAAACATCCCATAATATATAAATATATTCATTGATTTCGAGGACACATAATGAGAAAGAACGTTTAGAAAATGTAACACTCTTAGGGCGTATTGACAGCAATTGGGACAGTGAATAACGTTCCTACGAACTGATATAAATGGAGCTGAGAACAAGAGGGATGTTACAAGGACAAACATTGCGGAGAGCTATATAGAATAGGAAGTTGTAGAGAGCCATTATCATCAACGTCCTGCAAGGACATGGCACATAGAAGAATAAGGTATGTGGTTAGAGCAATGATATTGGCAAGGAGAAGGGTATCAGTGGCGTTTTATTTTGCACTCGGCCCCTTGAGAACAGCATTAATACATTTTTGTACTTACCACGAAGTTATAGGATAAATATCAGGGCCGAGTTGGCAACTCGTCTAAGAGAAGGAAAACTTTGAAATTTTAACCTTAGAGAACGCAATTGGTAACCACTCCCTTCACCGACTTGTGATATCAAAAAATATTCACACAAAATCTTGAAAAGTATCTATCCATAATATGTGTGTTCACTGTTCAGATAGAATTTTCTAATTTTAGTCCAATAATCTACCCCATGACATTATCAAGATCGACGTTTGTGTTTTACTGGCAACTTCCCATTTAAATATATCGACATAATTTTGATTCATACTTTTTACGTTCAAACTAAATACATAACAACATGCTTTCTGGGGTTTTATGTCGCTTTTATTCTCTATACTTTGAGAGCTGAACTACTGAACAGAAATATCGCAAATTTTGCAAGAACGGTCTTTTAAGTTTAAAATTAACTTTCTGACAGAACATATCTCTGTAGACTGCACTGTTTATTTCTTAAAGTCAGTTCAAAAGTGGAATTTTCTTTCGAAAGTATCTAGTTTAGAGCTTCAAATATAGCGGCATCCTCCCAGAACAGATCAAAGTACTTTAGAGTTCAGACTAATACAATAACCACTGAACTGTTTTCGCGTTTAAATGAATCGAGTGTTTAGTTTAAGATATTTCTAACCAGCCAAAACGTTTCTCTAATAGCTGCTTACAGCGCTTTCCTAACAGAAAAGTTTGCAGTTTCAAACTAAGTTCAACTGATCGATACCAGTGCTAGTATGGATTGATAATTATCGATACAGATCGAGCAATTAGGATGAGTAACTAATCGATATTTATTGAACTACTCTTACAGAAGCGATCTCTTTGATGTTGATGGGCTCGTGCTTTTAGTAAAGAAAGAGAAAGTTATTTTTGCTCGACATTGACGTCAGAGATTTTGACCGTTTACGTGTAAACCGGAGTCGCCTATATCGAATGCGATTTACTGGGGGGGGGGGCAGATCATTTGATTGAACTACTGACAAGTCAAGTGAAATGTTACAGACCGACAGTAGCAGTATCCAGGTATCGATAGATTTTACAAAATCGAAATCATTTCTTTTAAAGTTTCTGCGCAGCTAGAAGATTACGTAAACATAACTTTGCCGTTAGTTCGTTAATGCATTTTTAGCTTAAAAAATACTTGCAAAGCTTATCTATGTATGGCACAAGGCAAAAACAAAAGCGCATAAAATAAGAAATTAAAACTCACTCTCTGTTTTTGAGATGAGGTTCTTTTAAATATTCACATTATTTACATTGTTTGGTCTGCTGTCCTCATCTTTGTTGTCATATTCACGACGTTTCGGCCGTAGTAGGCTCCGGTCTTCTTCAGGAGATTGGAATTTTCGGCCAATGGCCACAGCGCAAGTGAAAAAAGAATATGGAGAGTTGCGTTACTAGCAGTAATAACTGAAACTGAAACAGAGACTTCTGGCAGAGGCATGGCGTGTGGAACTAGAACAATCTACACCGGTGGACGAAATAAAGAGTTCGGTTCGAAATTCTAATTACCTGAAGTAGGCTGGAGCGTACAACGGCCGAAACGTCGTGAATATGATAACGAAGATGAGGACAACAGTCCGGATAATGTAAAAAGATTTCACTACATTAATGATTAGTGACACTGTGCTACAATATTGGGTGTTACCTAATAGGGCACTATTATGGATATGCGCTTACCTTAGTCGTTATTGGCGTGGAAAATGAAATCCGCTTACCGGGTTGAAATTCACAAATACGCTCGCTAAAGGTATTTTGTCTTGGTAATGCTAAGCTAATATTAGCTGTTTCCTTATCAGGAAACATTCGGTATTCATTGACCGAGCAGACAGTGCTACTCGAGTTACGTATTTCCTCACTCCTTTGTCATCATACTGTGATCAAATTCTAGTTACTTTTCTCCTCATTTCTATTGGCAATGATAACATTAGCTGTTTCCTTATAAGAAAACATTCAGTACACACTGACCGAACTGAAATTTTTTATATCAAATATATTCAGCCAATCTAATTTTTGTGATGTCAACGACCACTTTCTGATGCCAACTATTAATCACTGCCACATTTGTAATTCTCGTTGTAGTAGAGCCTTTGTAATCGCAGATACATCTATAGTACGCCGTTGAACAATGCTTTTGTCAGACGACTTCGAGTGGTACTCGCGCTAGTACTTGCTCGATAATACTCGCCAGAATAGTAATCAGTATAGTGATCTGAATAGAGTAATAGTATAGTGAATATAGTAGAAAATAGTGGTCCGTATAATAATAGAGGATAGACTAGAAATAACGATCGTTAGTCGTCAGCTACTTCCTACATATATACGTTTCCTCTATGGTCACGTGGTCAACTTAATTCAATAATGGGATCGCCTGTGTTTGCTCACTGGCGATCTATGTTCAAACTCAAGTGTCGGTAGTGACACTTTATTCCTATATAAAACTGCTGACCCGAGATGGAACAAATACATTGAGTCAATTGCTTCGTCCACCGCCAAGAAATTTTTCTCCCTGGAATCGATACTTCAAATATACAAATCAACCATTCGCCCTTACATGGAGTATTGCTGCCATATATGGTCTGGTGCACCTTCTGTTTACCTCGGAGTTCTTGACAAGATCTAGAGGCGAATATGTAATATAACTGGCCCTGATCTGACATCTCGTCTGCAGTTGCTCTCTCACAGACGCACCGTCGCCTCTCTCTGTCTTTTTTAAAAATACTTTCATGATAATTGCTCTGATGAGCTGCTTTCGCTGGTTCCCAGACTTCGTGAATTCAAGCGTCCTACGAGGCTGGAATCTCGCTCACACTGTCGCTTAAATTCATGAAGTCTGGGAACCAGCGTAAGCAGCTCATCGGAGCATTTACCGTGAAAGTATTTGTAAAAATGACAGAAGGTGGCAACGGCATGTCTGTGGCGAGATGCCAGATCAGGGCCAGTTACATTGCATATCCCTCTCTGGATTTTATCAAGAACCTTGAGACAAACAGAAGGGGCTCCAGACGATATATGGCAGCAATACTCTATGCAAGAGCAAATGGTTGATTTGTAGATTTGAAGGACTCCTGCAAGAATAAAATCGTGGCGCGGCACAGGGTGCCAACTTTCCTTACGGTGGACGAAAAAGTTTGACAAGCATAGCAGTACCCATTAACATAGCAGCAGTTGATCAAGAGAGGCGAAAGCGATATTTCTTGTCTGCAAGAAGACACAGTGAAGTGAGATGCATAAACAATTCGTAGTTGATTAAAGTCGATTGTACTTTGCCAAAAGTCTAATTGGCTGATCCCTAATCAGTTTGGAGTTGATTTGAGCTTCCAGTACTTTGCCAAAAGGTGAATAGATCGATAGTTAGACGATTCGCCCGAGTTCTTAAATATAGGAACGACAGAAGACAAACCCCAACACGCAGGAAATCAAATTTCTTAAAGACAATTGCAGGGATAACATCAAGTTGAATGCCTCTGTGGATTCCAGTTTCGAAAATCATACAAAGTTGCATCAGTTCGATAAGTTCAAATTGGCAACTTATCTAAAAAACGACCTACAGTCTGTTGTTAACTGGGACAAAGAATGGCTTGTCATTTTTAAGGCCACTAAACAACACACACACACACACACACACACACACACATACATATATATATATATATATATATATATATATATATATATATATGAATTATTCACACAAAAACTAATGCAAAGGTTAATGATTTAAATGGCGAGACATCCATCATCGCAAACAATTCAAATAATATACAAAAACCTCCGAATCCGTTATGAATGAAATAATCCTTGTTTATATAAATTTCTGCCGTATTAGTTCTTATTTTTACTACAAGCTTTCGTCTGTTCCTACAGACATCTTCAGGTATAGAATAGATGTTGTTCTTGTTTTTTCTCTTAGTAATAAGAGGACAACGAAAATATATGTATTGTTGTATCCGAAAATGCTATTGAAAATGAGTTATTGTTTTTGGAACGCGCAGAAGCAATATATATATATTGGGTGTAATGTGTAATAATTTTAGTATTTTTTCTTAAGGATTTTTTTTCTAGATTTCCAGTTTTCTGATTAAAATTGCATATAGAATGGTTCAATAATAGACTTTGCATCGGAAAATTCAGTGCGTAATTATATTAGGTTGGTGCATAATTATCAGGCGTTTTTTAAGCAATATTTATTATGAAAAAAGAAACATAAAAATTCAACAATAACATTTTAAATGTTATTCGAAATTATTCCGGAGTGTCTGATTATCGGCACGCATCTTTATAACCTGAAAATAAAATAACATTTTTATTTAAAAAAATCAACAAAACAGGAATGTTTATGAACAAATAAGTCGCGTACAAAAACGGCTGATAAATTATGCACCAACTCAATATATACATGTTCCTTAATTTATCATTTTCTATGATTCCTATCGATATCTGAACTACATATGATCTTCAGCTCATATACATAAACCTGTTAACCTGTAGAAAAAGAGAATATGTATAACCTGTAGAAAAAGACAATATGTATAACTGTAAACCTGTAGAAAAAGACAATATGTATAAAGGGAAAAGACAATAGGAAAAGTGTATTATTAGCCGACGCGTTTCGTCCAGTGTGGACTTTTTTCAAGGCAAAAACGTAATGAATTTATTGAAAACAAAGTAACTATTAACAGCAAACAAAATGTCTTTAGTAACTAGAATAATTTAGAAAACGCTAGTGTATTCATATTGTCAAATGAAAATTACAAATTGAGAATATGAATACAATAGCGTTTTCTAAAAATAAAAGAAATCGTAACTTTCCCAAGTATATTAAATATGCGTAGGCAATGGATTCAGCAGGAATTCGAACACGCCTCTACGATGACCGCAATCTAAGCCGCTATCCATTACTCCACCGTGCCTAAGAGTCCGATGGGCAATCTCAATTTTTTTAAAGAAAATTAAAAATGATAAGCAGTACATTTTATCTGTAGTTGAAAGCATAAAATTGCATCCAAAGTATTTAGATTTTGGTATTAAATAACTCATGCAGGATTGATATAGCGGTAAACAAAATCAAACAACCAACATGAAAGAATTCCTTCACGACAATAAGCAAATATAAAATCGTAAAATTTCTGATGAAATCAAGCTGTATTCTAAAATATAACTTTAACTACAATATAAAGCACATATATCACCATTACCTAATAAGGGTTTTGTTTCCATTTCTCTATAAAGCTTTCTCTAGTCCTGGGTATGGCGATAAAATACATCAGGAGATTGGAGGGTTCGAGATGGTGGAACCACCATTTGATTGTTGTTGTTCCAAAGCCCACATTAACGTGGGGTAGTAACACCTGTTAGGGTCTCATCTATGACCAAATAGGGAACCCCAAAAGTAAATCAAAACAATATGAAAGTATAAAAAAACACACAAACACACACACATATATATATATATATATATATATATATATATATATATATATATATATATATATATATATATATATATATCTTTGTAAAATTACCAACAATGCATATTATAGTAAAATTATACATTTTCACAGATAATTTAATAATTCTGTTCTATCAGTTCTCTCTTTCCTTAGATGATCAACGTCCTGCTTAAAAAATATATATATATATATATATATATATATATATATATATATATATATATATATATATATATATATATCTTTATGTGTGTGTAAAATTACCAACAATGCATATTATAGTAAAATTATACATTTTCACAGATAATTTAATAATTCTGTTCTACTATCAGTTCTTTCTTTCCATAGATCCTGCGTATATATATATATATATATATATATATATATATATATATATATATATATATATATATATATATATATATGTGTGTGTGTGTGTAAAATTACCAACAATGCATATTATAGTAAATTATACATTTTTCACAGATAATTTAATAATTCTGTTCTATCAGTTCTCTTAGATGATCAACGTCCTGCGTAAATATATATATATATATATATATATATATATATATATATATATATATATATATATATATATATATATATATATATATATATTTATTAATAATTTGTGTGTGTAAAATTACCAACAATGCATATTATAGTAAAATTATACATTTTCACATATAATTTAATAATTCTGTTCTACTATCAGTTCTCTCTTTCCTTAGATGATCAAACAAGGCGATGATGCCACTATGACGCAAAGTGTTAGAGTGACAGTAAATAAGAAGTTAGTTAAGAGAAAGGGCAAAAACGGAAGAGGATTCAGAGAGACAGAAGATGATGCTTGATGTTGAATTTAAATTTATGAAGATATTTGAGAGCAGGGGAAGTAGAAACCGGAAGAGAGTTACACAAGCGAGACGCGCGAGTTTTTTTTTTTTTTAATTCGATTTCTCTTTCATTTTTTATTCACCTTTTTCTTTCTTTCTTTTTTCTTACTTTCTTTAATATTTTCTTTTTTTTATCTATTTCCTTTGCTCTTTCTATTTTTTTTTCTATCTTTCTTGAACATTTTCATTTTTCGCCAAGTCACTTATTTCTGTTTTAATTTTGCCTTCTCGCATTTATTAGTTGTGTTTCGTTTTTTTTTTCTCTAGTCACTTTTTTTTTTCATTCTTTCATTCTTTTCACTTTCGTTCTGTTTTCTTTCTTTTCATTTTTACTCATCTTTTTCTTCTTTCTTTTATATATTCTTTTTTTCACTTTTCCTTTTTTCATTTATTGATTTTATTCACCTCTTTCTTTCTTTCTTTCTTTAATATTTTCATTTTTTCATTATTTTCTTTTTTGCATATATTCATTTTTTTCATTATTTTTCATCTTTTTATTTCTTTCTTTCTTTTTTTAATATTTTTCATTTTTCATTTCTTTCAAATTTCAATTTTTATTTATTTTCTCTTTAATATTTTTTTATTTTTCATTTTTAATTTTTTAAGTTTTAATTTTTTCAATTTTTCAATTTTATTTCACCTTTTTCTTTTTTTCTTAATTCTTTCTTTCTTTCTGTAATATTTTATTTTTTACATTTTTTCAATTTTTATTCATCATTTTCGTTCTTTCATTTTAATATTTTCTTTTTCTTCATTATTTTCATTTTTTTCATTTTTTTATTCGCCTTTTCTTTCTTTCTCGTTTTTAAATATTTTCTTTTATTTTCTCTCTTTCCTTTCAATCTTTTCTATCTTTCATGAACATTTTTAATTTTTCAGCAAGTCAGTTATTTATTTTTATATTTTGACTTCTCCCATTTATTAGCTTTGTTTTTTCTTCTTTTTCTCTAGTTCTTTTTTCTTTTCTTTTCTTATTCTTTTCACTTTCGTTCTGTTTTCTTTCTTTCACCCTTTGTTTCAATTTTAATCTTTTTCTCTGTTCTCACTATTTCTTCGGTACTCTTTCTTTCATTCATTCTCTTCACTTTATTTTGCTTTTCTTAATTTTATCACTCTTTCCTTTCTTTCATTCTTTTTCATTGTATCTCTTGTAACCTAGGGAAGGTAACTGAATAGAATAATCACTCGAAGGGTGGTAATAAACGATAAACCTTAGGACAAGAACAGCACATATGGGATTCGCCAGCGGCGCGTAGAAGTAGTAATCAACTGCTAGAAGTGAGTCAAGTGAAATCCACAATGAATCTCCAACTGCAGGATATGCAACAACCACCCCACGTGGTCAGACGTGGCACAAGACCGAATTTAATGCAGGGTATCGGAGCTCGTAGAATTGGACAAATATCCCCCGTATAAAACGGTAGCTATTTCCCGCGACGAGACCCTGCCCTTCGACATAACCTTGTCTGGGTATCCTCTTCACCCTGAGTCAGAGAGTTTGATCAGCACAGCTGGAGACGAATCTGTAACTAAAGGATATCTACCAACCTCTCCACGCGGTCAGATGTATCACAAGGCCGAACTTAATGAGTTTGGCCAGCACAGCTGGAGACAAATCTCCAAATGTAGACCAACATACAGTATTTACTACTGTATTTATGTGAATGGGGACATACACATTATTGTCCGTAGGTAAGCTACAACAGTTTCTTATGAATTTATCTAGTGTCTTTGTTTTTTTATCAATTGCATTTTTTCTTTTTTCTTAATTATTTAAAATAATTTCAATCTCTCTACACCAACTGTATATAGAATAACTTTTTATTGAATTTTGTTTTTAATTCCAAGTCCTTTCGACACTTAAGAAATTGTGAATCTTCATGTCTTGCTATCATTAATATCTCTGAATTGCAATGAAGTTTTAAGCAAGAGTGGTCAAGTTCTCTCTGCTTTTGAAATCAGAGTAGTCTTTCTCCTAGAGGGACTACCGCTGCTTCATGTCGAGCAAGGATAAAGGGGGTTAAGTGTACCTCGAAAATCAGCATCTGAAATCATAGCTTTGACATGTGATTGAATATTGATCAACAGAGAGGGGGTGGGAGCACGTAGTTAGTTTTCCTGCTATGTTGGTCGTAATAAGTTACACACTGAAGAAAAGACCGATAAAAATTTTTTCCGATTATTTCTCTTCCTTTATTTGCTTATCTTTCCGACTCCATTTTGGATTATTTGAGAGGATTTCCTGTCAATAACGTCTATTTAATCATGATAGTTGAGAATTTATTTTTCTTAATGCGAAAGTATTTTGTCTCTAATAGTGATTTTAACCAACCAATACACAAGACCTTTCTTTTTTTAGAGGAAGAATCTATATATATATATATATATATATATATATATATATATATATATAACAGAGGATGTCTATCTGTCTGTGTGATACCTTTTCACTCGAGATCCATGCATCAGATTTTGACCAAACTTGGCACATACATTGTACAATGTAAGATATAGGTTCTTAGCGTAAGAAATCAATAATCGATTATGCCGATCAAAAATCGATAAATTCAACATTTCTTGTTCAAAATCGGTATGTAGGATACTTACATCATGTCGATCACAACGATATCTATTTTTTATTTCTACGCAACTGCATTTAGCGAAAAACAGCAAAAATGAAAAATCGATATCAACAAAAAATTTAAACTAAAATCTCCCTCAATTTTCAATATATCTAATACAAACTTCACTCAATTGTAGCCAACAATAACTTGATTGTTTAACAGTCATTTAACTAGATAACTGAGTCCACTCTTATAGTGAAAACGCACGTAATCAAAGAAAATGGCGATTTCTATTGCTTTCGTTCTTATTTTTCGTTGATCTTTAAACCAATTTTCATCAAAATTAACAATTGTTTTATAAATGTATCCTCTTTTACATCCCTAGTAGCACAACGAAAAAGTGTATTTCAAAGACTCCAAAATAATTGTAGTTTGAAGTGGGTCTTCATGTTGCCTGTTTTATCCCTTCATTTCCTCGGCTAAATTCGATTGAATAAATACAGACTACTTCAGTAACTGCATTAATTCAAAATGTTTTTTAATTAGATTAATTGAAGAAGATAGAATCTGTTACATGTAAACTTGATTCTGTTTTTGCTCGATTCTAATTGAATGCTTTTTTTCTGATCGACTAGATAGGTATGGCTGCTAGTGTTATATATTTATAGGTTCTTTTTGACTTGTTTCAAAGGCAACTTTTATTTTTCGTTTTCTTCATCACTCTGTATCGGCAGCGCTGAGCATCATTCCGCCCGTATGGCAAATTATGCACTAAAGAACAGGAATCTTGAAACGACAGAGATGTGGTTCTACCTAAGGATACTGAGAATACTATGGAGGGATCATGTAAGTAATGAGGAATATTTAAGGAAAACAGAAGGAAAAGGGCACTTACACTTAGAATCAAAAAGGGACGGTTGAAATTCATTAGACGTCTAAGAAAGTGTTATAGCGGAACACACCTATTCTATAGTTAATAGACTCTCCTACCTATAATAAGTAGGAGTAGTAAGAGTAACGAGGAGTCGATCAGTGGTTCGGTCTGAGTTCAGTCTGAAGTTGGACGTCCGGCTGACCGGTTGAACTCTCTGCCTTCGCGCGGGGAGGAACCCGAACGAGGCTACGCCGAAGGGCGGATTCTCTTTCGAGGAGGTATACCGACCCTGAACCCGTTTATATGGGTTCAATGGGTATATTTTTGGCCGAGCGCACGGGCTCAGAGATCTCACGTTAAACCAGCCTTGTGCCACATGATGCCCTCGTGGTGGGGGTGACTAAATATCTTTGGTAAGTTGATCAGTCAGTCGATGCCGGACGACCGTTAGTCGGTTACTAAACTATCAGCGACCACAACTACATTTACTCTGCGTTATACCTATTATAACAAGTCCCTAACGTTTTGTACGTCGAACCTATTTTAGAACCGACTTAGTACAGTTACAAGCGTCCGCTGTGAAATCACTCCATAATAGAAAGATGGGCTTGAAAATTTTGTTGAAGGCAAGGGCGAGAGAGAATGAAGCAACGAATGAACTACCCAACGAAATTGTTTAAATTGGTGGCAAGACATGAACTGGGAAGGATAATATATGGATAAATATTGTTTGAGATAAAAAAAAAATAATAGAAAGATTTTTTTGTTTTGTTTTGCGGTATATCGACCTCAATGGATTATTTAATGCCGACAAGGTTTTTACCGCTGGTAATATTGTTTCCAAAAATGTATTGCTGGTAATATATTTTCCTTCAAAAATGTATTTTTCCTCAAAAATTCATTGCTGGTATTAAAACCTGTTTTTACACTTTCACAGTGCTTTGACCCCAGTTTGGGGGTTAACTATTTGCCTAGAGTTGGGACCCGAAAAGGTCCTACCACCCGCGGTTAGGGTGGACATGGGAACACCAGCAATTAAGAGGTGATTCCACACAACTCAAAAACCTCCTAATTAGAGTCGGACGTATTTTATCGTCTTACCAAGGACGCGGATATAGTTTATCGTCTTACCATGATGCGAACGTAGTTTATCGTCTTACTCTGGATGTGGACGTAATTTATCGTCTTACTGTTATAGAGTAGTTTCACAGTGGAGGCTTGTATTTCACTAAGTCGGTCCTAAAAAGGTTCGACGTACAAAACGTTAGGAACTTGACATAATAGTTAATGACGCAGCAATCTTGTTGTGGTGGCTGATACTTTAATGTCCGACATCGACTGACTGACCAACTCACTGAGGGACTGCTACTACTACTACTCCTACTTATTATAGGTGGGAGAGTCTATTAATAATAGAATAGGTATGTTCCAGTATAACACTTATAGAGAATGCGGACGTAGGGTGTAGTTTATTGTCTTACCCAGGATGCGGACGTAGTTTATAGTCTTACCCAGGACGCGGATGTAGTATATCGTCTTACCGAGGACGGTAGGAAGTTTTGGAGAGCCATGGCCAACCACACGATGAAGAGGTACGATACATAAAAGAAGAAAATTACTCCTTTTTTTAATGTGGGATCTTGAACTTAGAGAAAACATTCACAGTATATGCCAGTTCAGGACAAGCAACAAAGTACAAAATACAAAGAAGGATCTGCAATGTTATCTGTCCTAACCTGGCATCTCGGTTTCGTTCACTTTTCCACCGCACTAACGTCGCTTCTCTGTGTCTTTTCTATAAATACTTTCATGGCAATAGCCTCCATGAACTTTACTCTTTGATACCACGGCCCACGGAATCACAAGTGTAGTACTAGATGGAAAACTCATCCTTTTAATTTAGAAATAACCAGATATAAGCGTAAATACTATTCTAATCCTGTCAACTGCAATCTTTGAATATTTAAAAGCAGTGTCTTTCGCTATATTTCTAAACCCCGTTCTTTTATTCCTTTTGCCACACCACTGTTTTTTTTTTTCATTCTCAGTATCCGCTTGTTTTATGGTGGATTTATCGTCTTGCTTGGGTTGAAATGATTGAAACCATGAGTATGCGGTGTGGGAGGGAGAGTTTCAGGAAGTCAATTGTTGCGGCACCGGATATGAACAGAGAAGAAATTCCATTTCAGATCAAATTATTTGAAAAAACAACAAGTGTGAAATTGCAGCTGCCAAAGTGTCGCGATAAACAGTAAAGAACATGAAACTAGTCCAAATATGAAAATATATTGCGCAGATCTGTCTATATTTCTGAGATGAGGTATTATATACACTATTTATATATTTCGGACTATTGTCCTCATCTTTGTTGTCATAGTTATCCTCAAGGACACATGGCACAGTGGATAAAGGCGTTAGTTAAGGCGGCGGAGGCCTTAGGGAGGGGAATTAACAGGAGTTTACAGATAACTGACATACATTAGACATGGCACGTGGAACTAGAACAGTCTACCCCAGCAAGCGAAATAATGGGTTCAGTTCGACATTCCAACCACCTGAAGAAGGCCGGAGCGTACAGCGGCCGAAACGTTGTGATAAATATGGCAACAAAGATAAGGACAACAGTCCGAGTAATGTAAATAATGTTGCGCAGAGTCGCCAGATTGTTGTAAAAATGTTTTTTTTATATTCAAAGTCTATCTATCTCTCAATCTAT